CAACAACAACATCAACAACAACAATAATTCTAAGACGGTTCGCCCTTATATGCTCGAGTGTCCAATAACGCGTATTTCCCAAACCCTCGATACCCGCCCTCTTCGTCTTCGATCGAACCCCTTTTGGGGGGTATACCTTTCTTCCCTGCAGGCCGGGCCCTGGCAAGCGGCGGGGCGGCCGCGGACCGTCGGCCTGGCCAGCGGCAGCGCTGATCGGCGGGGCGGCCGCGGACCGTCGACGACGACGGCGACGACGAGCGAAAGCGAGAGCGAGAGAGAACGACAGCAGGGCCACGAAGGGCACGAAGTAGGCCACGAAGGGCGACAGCGGGGACACGAAGGGAATGCGTATGGGGCCACGAAGAGCGCGAAAGAACGGGGGCCACGAAGTGCAGATAATGCGAGGCCACAGGAGGCAACTATGGGGCCACTGAGGGTAGCAACTGGGCCACGTAGGACATGGAGGGGGACACAAGTGGCGACAGCGGGGCCGCGAAGAGCATGCACATGGGGCCACAGCGGGCGCGACTCCTGGGTGCCTGGGTGTCGGGAGCGCGGCGCTTGGGCAAATTGCAGGAAATTCCAACGCAAGGCCAGTCTTCAGTAAGTTGCAAGCAAGTATCCAGCGAGAGCGCGACTCCAGAGCGCCGGGAGAGCGATTCCCGAATAAATTGTAAGGAAGTTCCAAGCGAGAGCGCGATTCCTGAATAAAATGCGAGGAAGTCTTGGGCGGGAGCGGGGGTCCTGCCTAAATTGTGAGGAAGTCTCAGGCGGGAGCCGTTGTTGTTGTAACCCGGGGGCCAGGGGCCCAGTTTGAGCAGGAAGACTTTCCCTGTCAAAAAACAGAGTGCGAGCGTCGAGGGGCACACTTTGATTGAGAAAAACAGTATGCACCGGTGGGGGGAATCAACAATACTTATTTTTCATGAATGAGAACTCAGCAGCAACAACCACAACCACAATAACCACAACAACCACAACAACAACAACAACAACAACAACAACAACAACAACAACCACAACAACAACAACAACAACAACCAAGTTAAGACTGTCCGCTCTGATCTGCTCGTGTACCATTCAACACGTAAGCCCAAAACCCTCGATACCCACTTCGTCTTCGATCGTACCCCCTTGGGGGTACATCTTTCTTATCTGCACCTTGTACTTCATGCAGCCCCGACGGCAGGGGAAGGCTGGATGAAAGAAACGAACAAGGGAGAGGGAGGAGGATGGAGCACGAGAGTGGGTAGCAGGAGGGGGGCTACAACCCGCTGGTTTCAAACTGGAGACCGTGGGGATCGAGAAAGACACGGTTGGCCTCCCATTAAGCCGCGAGGCCCTGGGACAATGTTGGAATTCGGGCCGTTTTGGTAATTTCAGATTCAGCTATCACCCCTTTTAAAATATTATCAAAACCAAGTGGGGCCAGCGTTTAAACTTGCGATTCCGCCCGAGACGTCCTGCAAGAAACTGTCAGCTCGCCTTCCAAGGCGATCTGAAAATTTGCCATGGCGTCTGAACAAAAAAAACGCGTGGGACGCTTTTAAAACCAAAATGTAAACCGATCTTCATGCCGTTAGAGAGAGGCGATATCACCTGAGAATTCCTCACCAGATGTTTTCCGCCCGGTTCCACGCCGCCAGAAAATGGCATTGTTGTTTAAGTTATCCTAACAAGCACGCGTCTCGTCCACCCCTGGGGCGTCGTTCCCCCGTTCGGGCCACGAGCGTGTCTGGGAGTCATTTTGGGATCGATCGAAAGTCGCAGCTCGCGGTCTTATCGATAAACGAAAACCCAGCGGCTGTTCCCTCACATAGTGCCGATCATCGTTTCTACTCTGGTACGAGCAGAAAGCACGTGACAGAACCAGACGGGCAAATCGGGCGGGTTGACCCGAACAAACGGGTCGGGAAGGCGGGCCCAGGCGGCCAAGTCGAGCAGGCGGATTGCTGAAGCGCGCGCCCTGCATGTTCTGAATCGAGAGGAAGTCTCGAACGATAGCGCAATCCCCAAATAAATCGTGTGATAAGCCAAAGCGAGAGCGTAACTCCTGAGGGTCGAGGGCGCGCCGCGAGGAAGTCCCACGCGAGAGCGCGATTTCTGCATACGGTGCGAGGAAGTCCCGCGCGAGAGCGCGATTCGGGAATCAATTATGACGAAGTATCAGGCGGGAGCCGTTGTTGTTGAATTTCGGGGGCCCGCCGCCCAGTTTGAGGCTCAAGACGTTCCTTGATAAACAACAGGGTGCGAGCCCCAAGAAGGGCACTTCAATTGGCAAAATACAATGGTTACCGGAGGGGGGATCAACAGTAATGATTTTCAGTAATGAGAGTTCAACAACTATTTTGCCCGAGTGCTCTATGCTTCTAAATACAGCATGCATCCATCATGATAGCTCACCCCCATGAGAGATTTTTGCTCTTGCACACGGGGGTCCGATATCCCCTCTCCCTGATCACCCGCCCGAAGAATTCTTCACAACACCTCTTCCGAGGCACTTCAACATCTCCAACCCGGATAGCACATCGCCTTCGCAAGCCCTTGGACAGGCCTTGCTTCTGGGTACCACGACGCCCGAATGGCCTAAGACCTCAGGGAGCGGCCTCACAACCTCTGGGAGAGCACCGCGGGAGAGTCCCCAGAGCCTCCGAGAAAAGCTTCAGAGCTTAGGCCCCTCGGCTTTCGACCATTTCCAGGGGGCCGCTTTTGCGTCGGCCGCTTTCTGATGGCGCCATGGCTCGTCGTCGTCGTCGCCGCCGCCGCCGCCGCCACCGTCGTCGCCGCCGTCGTCGTCGCCTTCCTCCTCCTCCTCCTCCTCCTTCTCCTCCTCCTCCTCGTCCTCCTCCCCTCCTCCTCCTCCTCCTCCTCCTCCTCCTCCTCCTCCTCCTCCTCCTCCTCCTCCTCCTCCTCTCCTCCTCCTCGACGACGACGACGACGACGACGACGACGACGACGGCGGCGGCGGCGGCGGCGGCGGCGGCGAAGACGACGGCGACGACGCCACGCCCCAGGACACGAGCGAAAGCGAGGTCGCGCGGAGCAGGCGTGAGAGCGCAAAAGCGCATTCAGGGTGTCCACCAGTAATGACTGTGTAATCATTATGGTTCAACAAGGACTAGGGAAGCCTCTAGGCCTCCTGGGAATCTTGAGTGCAAGCGAAGGAGACATCGAGCGGGAGCGTCGATGTTTGTAGGGGGTCCTGAGGCGGGAGCGCTGGTCCCGAGGTGGGAACCAAGGAAGCATCGAGCGGGAACTCCAGTTTTGTTGGAAAGGCAACTTTGGGGGGCGAGCAAGAACCCGGGCCCCGAGTGAGAAAGGAGGAAGTATCGAGCCAGAGCGTTGTTGTTAAATGTTAATTGCTGAACAATTGTCATTGTTGGAGCCCCCCAAGCGCTTTGGCGCTCTCGCCTCGGCGCCGGCTACATTTTCATTGAAAATGAGGCTCGCGCTCGAGCGGTTCGGGGGGGCGCCAAAGCGGGCCCCCAAACAACCACAACGTTCCCGCTCACGATTTCCCCCTTTTGTACTCAGGGCCGGTGTTCCTGTTCGCCGCTGAAAGCCGCCGTCCCAACAAAACCAGCGCTACCGCTCGAGAGTTCCTCCCGTTTTGCCTTGGAGTGGCGCGCTACTTTTTCTCTCATCGGCGCCGCCCCCAGCAAGAAAACAACGCTCCCGCTCGAGACTTCCTCCCTTTTTTACTCAAGGCGGTGCTCCTCCTCGCCGCCGAAAACCGCCGCCCCGACAAAACCAGCGCTCCCGCCCGAGACTTCCTCCCGTTTTACGCTGGACTGGCGCCCTACTGTCTTTTGAATTGGCGCCGCTCCCAGCAAGAACAACGCTCCCGCTCGAGGTTTCCTCTTTTTTTCTCAGGACGGTGCTGTTCCTCGCCGCCGACAGCCCCCGTCCCGACAAAACCACGGCTCCCGCTCGAGATTTCCCCCCTTCTTACTCAAGGCGGTGTTCCTCCTCGCCGCCGACAACCGCCGCCCCAACAAACCAGCGTTCCCGCTCGAGACTTCGTTTCGTTTTACGCGGGACTAGCGCCCTACTCTCTTCAGCGTTGGCGCCGCTCCCAGCAACAACAGCGGCCCTGCTCGAGACTTCCTCCCTTTCTATTCAGGGCCAGGTCCTTGCCTCGCCGCCGACAGCCCCCATCCCCATCAAGGCAATCCTGTCGCTCGATACTTCCTTGTGCTTTACCCTTAGCTGGGGATCCACTGGCGGCCTCGCATCGGCCCAGCAAGGCGCGGGCATGCGTTTTCGTGGCGGGATATGTTGAAATTCCTCGGAGAAGGTGTTTGCAAGACCTCATTGGGCGGGAGATCTGGGAATGGGAATAACGGACCCCGCTGTAGAACAATAGTCCCCCACGATGGGGATGGTTATCATGAATGCTTCGTATGGAGGCATCGCGCGTGAGGGTACAATGATTGTTGTTGTTGTTGCTGTTGTTGTTGGGGCCAGCTTTTGTAGAACCCCGAAACGCCTGAGCGTGGGCCTAATTTTCAAAAGGAAATGCAGCCAGCGCCTAGGCGAAAGCGCGAAAGGGCATTCAGGGTAATCAACAATAACAAGTGCTTACCAAATAAGGTTCAACAACAATCCGCACCGCAGAACCTCACTTCAGCCACGCGCCCAAAGACAGTGAATGATCGTTCGGCCCCCTCAATTATACATGTGTATATATGTGTATATGTGTAAATATATTATGTGCTTAGATGTGTACACTATATATACATATATATACACCTAACATTCAACACACACACACTATATCTATACACACCGCCTGCCAACGTTCCCGAAAACAGGCCCGCCCAAGCACTGGTTATTCGTAAATCCCCGCCCCGGGAGGAAGGAGGGGGAGGCGGAGAGGAAGAGGAGGAAGAGGAGGAGGAGGAGGAGAAGGATGAGAAGGAGGAGAAAGAGGAGTAGGAGGAAGGGCAGCAGCAGCAGCAACAACAGAAGCAGAAGCGGTGGGAACGGGGAGTGAGCACATCGCCGGGTCGATCTTCGCCACGGCCAGCACCTCGCAGACGTCCGCCAGGGCCCAGCCGACGCCTGCCCAGAGGATAGGAAACTTCAAATTCCAGAAATCAAACCTCCATGGTGGAGGGGGACAGACTATAGGCTGAAGGGAAAAACCTCCAGAACGAAGATCGAACTTCCAACGTGGAGGTCTTCGATCCTTTGGGTGTCCATTGGGGGGGGCGTGGGCGGAGGGCCCCTGGAGATCTCTATAGAGGCATCCCCGGAAGCCTCTGCGGAGTTTCGTGAGTGCCCCCCGCCAGAAAAGAAAACGACGCCCCCTCCTCCTACTCCTTCCCCTGCCTCCTCCTGCTCCTCCTTCCCTTCCTCCTCCTCCTCCTCCTCCTCCTCGTCCTCGTCCTCATCCTCATTCTCATCCTCATCCTCATCCTCATGCTCATCCTCATCCTCATCCTCCTCATCATCATCATCATCATCATCATCATCATCATCATCATCATCATCATCATCATCATCATCATCATCATCATCCTCATCAGAATCATCATCAGAATCATCATCATCATCCTCATCCTCATCATCATCATCATCATCATCATCATCATCATCATCACCATCACCATCACCATCACCATCATCACCATCATCATCATCATCATCATCACCATCACCATCACCATCACCATCATCACCATCATCATCATCATCATCATCATCATCACCACCACCATCATCATCATCATCATCATCAGCATCAGCATCATCATCACCACCACCATCATCATCATCATCATCAGCATCAGCATCATCATCATCATCATCCTCATCCTCATCCTCATCCTCATCCTCATCATCATCATCATCAGCAGCAGCATCACCATCATCTCATACATCAGTATCCATCATCATCGTCATCAGCAGCATCTGCATCATCAGCATCATCATCATCATGTTCCTCCTCCTCCTCCCTGTATTGTTCCTCCTCCTTTCTCTTCTCTTCTCCTCCTCCTCCTCGGATCGGATCGGATCGGATCGGATCGGGCGAACGAACGGTAGTTTGTTTGTTAACGTGAAGCATCTTCGAAGGCGCGGCGACGGGGAAAAGGGCAAGACCGCCAACTTCGTGGTCAGCCGTGACGGGCGTGAGTTAACCATCAGGGGTCCAGACCAGCAGACACACAAACGAACAAAAAAAGAAAGAAAGCGGCGACTGGGTCAAGGCACAAATTGTAGGAACGGGTCGAGCAGCTTCTAGAAGTCCGAAGCACCCACGTGACCCCCACCACACCACCCGAGCTATGCCACTGGTGTGTACAAGCACGAACAAGGGAAATATCACATTCGTACGGGAACTACGTGAGAAGGTTTCCCCACTCTATCCTGAGCGGTATCTGTCCGCCATTACCTGCACGTCCCCCATCCCGTACTTGCGCACCCCTCCTCCAGCTGGTCTAGCTGGCTGTGCAGCGCGATGGTAGGCCCCGACTGACTGTGGGCTCCAAAAGAGCAGGTGTCCAATACCATCGCCTTGATCAAACCTTCACGCAAAGCCTGTCGCACGACAGGAACGTCAATCTCTCGCACTCCGCTAAATGGGTCCATGGGACACAGGTGGCAAACATGCAGAGAGTGCACGAGAGCGAAGAGACTCCTCACCAAATCAATTCCCTGGCCAAGGGCGCCCTTCTTTTCGACGCCCGCATTGGGCCTCCCCCACGGGAAACGGGCCGTTCTCAGAACGCGAGCGGCGCAGGAGAGGGACCCTTGGAACACAAGCAATGGTGCAGTGATGTCACGGAGCGCGCCACCCGCGAGGTGCCCGATCCAAACTTCCGCATCTTGCAACGTACGCTCCTCGTGAAACATATGCATGACTAGAATATTCCACTACGCGTGGGCACCCAGATAATCGAATATGTTACGAAAATCGCTTTCGTTTCCGCCATGACTGCCCATCAGAGAAATTATCCCGGCAAAGCAACCTAACAGCGATGAGTAGGAGCATATCTGGAAGCATTCCCCTTTATATTCAGATGAGAATCCAGTTGTAGAATTCTGATGTTCTCGCAGCCAGAGTCGTATTCGCGATGACAGTCGCAGTGGCCTGCATCAGCCTCAGCCTCAGCCTCAGCCTGCCTCAGCATCAGCCTCAGCCTCAGCCTCAGCCTCAGCCTGCCTCAGCCTCAGCCTCAGCCTGCTTCAGCCTCAGCCTCAGTCTGCCTGCAGCCTCGGCCTCAGCCTCAGCCTCAGCCTGCGCCTCAGCCTCAGCCTCAGCCTGCCTCAGCATCAGCCTGCCTCAGCCTCAGCCTCAGCCTCAGCCTCAGCCTCAGCCTCCTCAGCCTTCAGCCTCGCCTGCATGAGCCTCGGCCTCAGCCTCAGCCTGCCTCAGCCTCAGCCTGCATCAGCCTCAGCCTCAGCCTCAGCCTGCCTCAGCATCAGCCTGCCTCAGCCTCAGCCTCAGCCTGCCTCAGCCTCAGCCTCAGCCTGCTTCAGCCTCAGCCTCAGTCTGCCTTCAGCCTCGGCCTCAGCCTCAGCCTGCCTCAGCCTCAGCCTGCATCAGCCTCAGCCTCAGCCTCAGCCTGCCTCAGCATCAGCCTGCCTCAGCCTCAGCCTCAGCCTGCCTCAGCCTCAGCCTCAGCCTGCAGCCTCAGCCTCAGCCTGCTTCAGCCTCAGCCTCAGTCTGCCTTCAGCCTCGGCCTCAGCCTGCCTCAGCCTCAGCCTGCATCAGCCTCAGCCTCAGCCTCAGCCTGCCTCAGCATCAGCCTGCCTCAGCCTCAGCCTCAGCCTGCTTCAGCCTCAGCCTCAGTCTGCCTTCAGCTCGGCCTCAGCCTCAGCCTGCCTCAGCCTCAGCCTGCATCAGCCTCAGCCTCAGCCTCAGCCTGCCTCAGCCTCAGCCTGCATCAGCCTCAGCCTGCCTCAGCCTCAGCCTCAGCCTGCATCAGCCTCAGCCTCAGTCTGCCTTCAGCCTCGACCTCAGCCTCAGCCTGCCTCAGCCTCAGCATCAGCCTGCTTCAGCATTCAAAATGTGGCCCGGGATTGGAATTCTGGGAACTCGAAGAAGACGAAGTGGCCTACAGTTGGCTCCGGGCATTCAAAATCATGCCCAGGAATGGAGTTCTGGGAACTCGAAGAGTGGCCTACAGTTGGCTCCCGGAGTCAAAATCATGCCCAGGAATGGAATTCTGGGAACTCGAAGACCACGAAGTGGCCTACAGTTGGCTCCAGGCATTCAAAATGTGGCCTGGGAATGGAGTTCTGGGAACTCGAAGACCACGAAATGGCCTACAGTTGGCTCCGGGCATTCAGAATGTGGCCCGGGAATGGAGTTCTGGGACCTCGAAGACCACGAAGTGTGTAACTGTTTGCTTAAAACGACTTCCGCGGTTTCTCCCCGGATCATGTCTGGACCCCCCTGGGGAGTCAAGATGCTCTCTTTTGACCCCACTAGAAACCTATCAGTCTTCGCTGTTAGGTAAAAATGCAAGCTGCATCTGGGTACCATAGAGGAACGTCCACAGTAGGCATAGAGACCTGCACCAATGGCGCATCAAATCTAAGGGCTCTGCCCCCTTGAACATACCGATTCCTCGACATCGAGCTCATGCTAACCCGCCTGACGACTGCGTATCTTGAGAGCCATGCCCTCACTCCAAGACGAAGCCTCCTCCTCCTCCTCCTCCTCCTCCTCATCCACAATACTGTCCGAGATGGCCCGTGCTCTGGCGCAATCCGTCTGGCGTTTCAGGTGATTGGCGAGCCCCCCATGGGCGCGGAACTGGAACGTGCAAGTTTGGCAGACAACACCAGCTGCCCACCTTTTGAGACCGCGTCCGCAAGCGTGGGCCTTGCCACGATGGGTCGCCAATCGCGCAACAGACTTAGCTAAGAAGCGACAATCATTGCAAAAGAAACGGGCGCTCCGATTTCCGTCGGCTTCATCAGCCCCCCCCCCTCCTCTTCCTGGAGGGGCCCCGAAACTCCGAGCAACGGGGCGGCCAGCAACGCCGCGAGCGCGATGGCCCTGCATCTGCCCGAAGACATCCTGCGAGCAGCCCCCGCACCACATCCAAGACATGTCCTGGAGGTTTGCTTCGAGCAGCGAATCCACCCCCTGCCCGCGCCTTCTCCCAGGCTAACTCGTTAAACCACTCGAAATCCTTCCTGGGAACCCAACCCCGCTACCAGGATTCCCCCACAGCATGTCGAGGGCCACCTCACTGGGCCCGCGCCCCAGAGCCTCGGGATGCAAGTCAACCCAGCAACCCCGATTACCGCGCGGCGTCCGACCTTTCCTACCTTCTCAAGGCCGCAAGCGCGCGAGCAGTGTTCATCAGCGCTGGCGGCAAGCAGCAGGCCATGGGCGGCCCTGCCAGCCTATCAGCCGCCGCCTCCGCGGCGGCCATCGCGGCGTTCAAGCGGTTGGACAGAAGTTCCCAAATCGCAGCACTGTTCCGCGCACCTGCTTTTCATACCCACAGTGAACGTCTTCCTCTTCCCCGGCGCAATGCGAACGGGCACGAGCCCCCTCCTCATTTGACCGATTCGGCGGTGGACCTCACGGCCTGCCCCTCTGGCGTCGGCAATGAGATTCCATGCCCCTTTGTTCCCATGACAACCTTGACCGCGATGACGAGCGCACGGGAGGTCAGCGCGCCCCCTTGCCGACCCGATTGGCAAGTTCCTGCCCGACACCGCTGGGGGCCAACAAGAGAAAGCAAACGTTTTCGCGGCGTCGAGGTGCGAGCCAAGACTGGCCACGGCACGGAGAACAATGCCAACCAGCTCCCCGATGGCCCCGTAATCATCTCAGCCTCTTTGACCGCCGACGCTGGGGCCAAGTCATCAATGAAAGAAACAGACTTGCCACGGTCCTGCCCTCCGCCAGGGCCCGCAGAAAAATTGACGCCTTTCTGCCTCTGAGATTGCACGTGCAACTCGTCTCTTGCTGCGGCGGCCTCTATCGCGGCGACAATCGGCTGAAAAACTACGCGGCAGAAACCGGCGGCGCAAACAGCGCCTTGACACGTGCCGACCTGTGGCATCACTTGGGGCGATGCGTTCATAACATTCCA